GCATAGCATATGACATCATCTGGACATGTAACACATTTAGCATGTGATGAATTCACATACTGTATGTGCCCACATTTTACACAAAGAAAAAGACATTCAAAAAGAAGATGTAATTGTACTTTTCAGTAAGGGAGTGCTTGCTTGTTCTTAAACATCTAAATGTACAACCTTTTATTCATGTTATATAACTGCACTAGTCTGTGTGTGTTGTTTATAACATAAGGAACCGGCAAAATAAATAATTGCTTGATAAACAAAGTGTGTCTTGTTTGGACATTCAGAGTTTTAAATATAGTTCAAAGAGCAAAATATGTGTTTAAAAAAGTACTTTCAGGGCTTTTAATTACTTTTTGGGGAATAATTGTCTTCTCTGTTTCAAAAGAAATCATTTACAGTTTACAAAAAGTTACGGCTTGAAACTGTGAGGGGGAATATTCCCACTGATGGATGGTGTTTGTGATTCATTGAGCCCATATCCTCTCTGTCTGTTACATTACTCATTCAGACAAACAGAAGTATCCACCCATGGAGACTCAACAGACACACACACACACACACACACACACACACACACACACACACACACTGATCATTACCCTTCTGTCCTGTCACAGACACTTAGAGAAACACAAAGACGGAGACCTGAACCAAAATCCTGAGATGATTTTGCCGCCTGTCACCACTGTGTGTGTGTGTGTGTGTGTGTGTGTGTGTGTGTGTGTGTGTGTGTGTGTGTGTGTGTGTGTGTGTGTGTGTGTGTGTGTGTGTGTGTGTGTGTGTGTGTGTGTGTGTGTGTGTGTGTGTGTGTGTGTGTGTGTGTGTGTGTGTGTGTGTGTGTGTGTGTGTGTGTGTGTGTGTGTGTGTGTGTGTGTGTGTGTGTGTGTGTGGTGTGTGTGTGTGTGTGTGTGTGTGTGTGTGTGTGTGTGTGTGTGTGTGTGTGTGTGTGTGTGTGTGTGTGTGTGTGTGTGTGTGTGTGTGTGTGTGTGTGTGTGTGTGTGTGTGTGTGTGTGTGTGTGTGTGTGTGTGTGTGTGTGTGTGTGTGTGTGTGTGTGTAGAGACCACATGCAAAGGGTTTCCACGGGCGACATCCAGAGGTTTTTAAATGGCTTTTCCAGCGCTGTCATCACAAAGACACACTTATACTCAAACAGCACTTTTATTTTTCTATGGTCAAGGCGCAGTGATGGAGGTTTGGACAGACACACAGAATAACGTCAAACATCACTTCAATCTAAACCGTTTTGTTCCACCTTGTGTACACATGCACGCAGTGATGCATGATAGCTACACAGGAAATCACTTTGCTATGGATTCAACACACATTTACCCCTCTTTCATGCAAGAGTCTGTCTTTCCTTTCAAATCCGTCATCACTTTTCGACTCTATTCTCGCTCTTTTGCTGAAGCAGAACATATAGCGCTGCAGGGAATGTTATCCAGCACAAACTAAACATGAGTTTTTTTAATAAAGCAGCGTACAAAATAAGGTTACAGCACTTTAAACTTTGTCAAGGGGTCTATTTTATGACCTCTCACTGGTTTATAAGAATCTTGTGATCTCCATCAAAAGCGAGGAAGTCACAGCCCCGCATAATTACACAGGGCACACCATTTCAGCCCAAACGAAATACAGAAATAGATCATTCATCAAAGTCCCACATTTTCACGTTCATATCTGTATTATAATTTATAAATGTAGTTTCAGTAGTGAGCCCAGGCTGCTCTGATTAGTCAGCTGGCCGGCTCTATTGTCCCGCCCCTTAGCCTATCAGAAACAATGTGTTGGAGTGCTAGCCAATAGAAGATCAAGTGTTACATAGTGATGTCCTTATGTTATGGAAGTAAACAAAGGATTCCAATAGAGGCATTTCAGGCAGGGGTGAGTGGGAGAGAAACTGCCTCTGGAGGGAGCACTGGGATTTTAGTCTTTGCAGACCATTTACATGCACTAAAACCTATATTACACACTACAGGAAAGGGAAACCCCAAAAAGCATAGGGCCCCTTTAATTATCTTTACGCAAGGACACTTCGACAAGTTGAATCCAGGGGGATTGGGATTGAACCACTCTGGTTGGTAGACACCATTTGGTCCATCTCAGCGTCACATCCTCCCACAAAAGTACATATGTTACATTACAAATTTGTTAAAAACTGTATTGGATTATTCCACATTGATTGTTTCTCCATGTCTGCTGGATCTGTAAATATGCTTCCATTGTATAAGGACATGTTGTGATTTCAGCATGCTGGTTGCACTGACTCCAAGAACAAAAATGTAATGAATGCAGGTTTAATGTATACCAGGTATTAGAAACGTTAGGCAATTTAAAGGTCCCATGTCATGCTTTTCCAGTTATTACCCGTCCCCTTGTGTGTTATGAAGGTTTTTACGCATCTAAACGAGTCAAAAACCCTCAAAGTACACCCTGTAGCGAGTCAAACTCTAACACAGAAAATACCTGTCCATGCTGCCCCAGAACGCCTCGTTGGGGATTCCTCATTTTCCATTGTTTGCTTCCTGGGTTCTGTGACGTGTGAACACCCAAATCAACAACAAATGACCGGATTGGCCCAAATGGACCAATCCGCGGAGCACCTCACACACCAGGATCCCTTGGCTAACTAACAGGGAGTCCCCATTGACTTGCATAGAGCTCCCTGAACGCTGGTAATAGACGAGTTAGGATGGCGGAGAAATGCTCTCCGTAGACCCATTCTCACAGCGTTAGAAACCTTTTTCTTACTCAATATCAAGCCACACTTATTGTTTTTACTTCGGCTGTGAGTGTTTGTGTGTGCTCAGGATGAGTATCGCTTGTTCTCGCTGTATCGCTGACCCGGAAACCTGTCCGCACCTCGCAGCAGCTCGTCCCGACCAATCAGAGCACACTGGGCTCACAGGGGGGGGGGGGAGGAGCTCCAACAAGCCGTTTAGGACAGAGAGTGAATACACATACTATAGAGATGCTGTGAGAAACCAATGTGAGTTTGGAAAATTGCACAATTTAAATCTATTCTAGTAGACCTCAACAATGGAATTATGACCAGTAGAAATGGCCATGACATGGGAACTTTAAGTAACAAATACAAAAGGAAGAAGAAGAAACTTTACTTGAGTTTACTTGAAGATACCTTAAAATCTGATGTGTTAAAAAGACCAAGCTGAACAATGGTAAAGGGATGAAGAGAAACTGTGCAGTGTGTCAAATCTTGAACACAGCTCCCTTTTAACTCTTAAAGGAGTGAGGAAAGGAACATAAAGGCGTTTAAAACAACAATACCAACAGTTTGAGTGTATGCTAATGATTCCTTTATTCCACTATAACATGGATTTAACAGATATGAGCTGTGAACGGGTGAATCACATTATGTCAGAACAGAGCGGAGCCTCACTTTAAACTGTTTAAAAACTCTGTGTGGATAATGTGTGAGGGCCCACTGTGTTATGTAAACACAACCTCAAAGGTATATTTACACTCGCACTGAAACCCCAGTCTCACACATTATACATGTTCCTCATTGAGTCGACTTTAAAGGCACTTTTTTCACCCCCAAGATAAACATGTTCCGAAGTTAAACGGAGACGTGATTGATTCAGACACACAGCGGCGCGGGAGGGAACATTTTATCATGGTTTTAGGAGGGAATCAACAAACACTTTCACACGTAACAACAGGAACAGATGCTGCCTTTACAGAGGGGAAGATTACACTCTTGTATTTTCACGCTAAAAGATTTTTTTTTTAAAACAACAACTATGAGCTAAAAGTCAATTTCCCTGCTCTTTTCTTGTCTTTGTATTTTTGCTTTTTGCTCCTGTGAATGGATGTTTCAGAGGGAAATTAATTATTCTTGTTTGCTTGTGTGTGTTTGACCTCGTCACTCGGAGCAGTGTGGTTGTGTCGCAGTAGATTAACACATGTTTTTACAGTTTTCTTCATCTGTACTCACTCCTGACCTGGAGCTCTTACAGGTAGAGGATACAAGAAGGCTGGACTGCTCAGTTTTTGGTAATAAAAAGTGGTGGTAATATTTAAAAACCCACTTTAAATCTTCCAAGAACAATCTGTTTTAAATGTGTGTCGGTCCAAAAGATAGATAGAAAAGATAGAAAATGAAATAAAACATGTTTCCTCTGCCATGAAACCAGTTTTCAATTCTTGAGGTGATTTTGGGGACTCAAAGCTGCAGCAGGGGGCATTTTAAATACGGAACAGGACCTCTCTACTAAATCCCTCATGAGAGAGAATAAGGGAGAGAAACAAACACTAACAAGACTGGCTTTTCTTGTCAGCAACCACACTCTATGATCAGCTTTGAACATATCCTGGCTATAAAAACATACTTTTTCTTGTCCCTGTGCCGACATCTGTCATTCATCTGTTATTTAATAAATGTATATTATGTAATAGTTCGTGTAACTGGATACATGTTCGTAAAAGCCTGCATGGTGGGACTGCATTGACTTTCTGCAGTAGTGTAATTAGAAGTAAAATCCGATGCGGAAAACTTTACTCCTGTAGAATATACATTTTAAAAGATGATATTCCTACATCTTTTATTCTGTGTCAGGGTTGGATCGTGTATGACTGTTTCTTTTAGGATATACAGACCAAAGATAAAAAGGGATTCCCGCTCTGTGTGAGCTCCAGAGACATGGGAAGTGTCATGCTGCCTCCTAGTGGTTTCACACCAAAAATGCATCTTCAAATCTACCAAATATATATAAAACATTACCTCAATAAAACCATCCTAATACAAACCATAATTCAGACTACAATACATATACGTGTGGAATAATAAGGCAAAATACAAATACCACTGCGTCTGAAGGTGAAAAGCATTTCATTAACGTGGTTTATTTATAAACATCCACCATTACAGTTATGTGCTTTTCTATTTCCGAGTTAAATAATAGAGGCCCCTAAACGCAACAAAAAAAAAAAGACATATTGTGTGTGTTGAATGATACAAAAACACGATCAATTAATAACGATATGTTTTTTAGTAGGTTTATTACAGTCATTTTTACAGGAAGTAAGTCCAGGCAGGTTTCTCCATTTAATAATCAATCTGGCGTTAGTACCATTTATACATATACGCGTTTATACACTATACAGAGATAAAGGGGAGTAAAAGGGACGAGAACATTAACATATATACAATCCTAATGTTGTTTAGTACCAACTAGTTAGAGCAGTTTGGTCACAACACAGACATTTGAAGTTTGATTCAGTGCCTCGAGCATAAACACAAATCCAGATCCAATATGGACCAACAGATCCAGTCAAAACATGCTTTTAGTTTGAAAACCTTTGAGTCACATGACACAAACCATTCATCCTTTTTCTCGAGACCGACTGTAAAAACACAAACTACATATTAAAGTACTGCTGAACACGAGTGGATAGGAAAAGAAAAAAACAAAGCCTGACGTCCGGTGACTTGGTTAGAACCATGTTTGAGTATGTTAACTCACTCATAAATGTGTAACTAAAACATATCAATACGTATACAGTGAAGAGAATAACTCGTAATTATTGTGATTGTTTTGTACATTCTTGAACGATAATTGACGCTGAATAGAAACCATAATATGTTGTGGACATTTGAAAATGATTAGTAATTAACTTTCATGATCTGCTGTTCCCAAAAGACCAGGATTGAAATGCTACGCTCATACTGTATGAGTGTATTTCTGCATAAGGGTTTTTATTTTTACTTTTAAGACATAAAAACTGATTATATATCTCCTCAATATAGGTTGCATTTATCTAAAGGCTGTAACAAGTTCAGCTAAAGAATGATTATTCCTTCTCTGATACTTAATATTCTGAAAATCATTGAAAATAATTCAGAGATAAGGGGAATAACGGCTTATTGCTTTCACTCCTGAACCACAAGTCTACGAGATGCTATTATACCAAGAAAGAATAGTCCTTGGCTCGGAGTACACTTGTTTTTGACCGAGATATAAAAATGTAAAGCTGTTTGACAGGAAAACGACAGAGAGCGGGACCTTTAAGATTAAATGTTAAAAGTTCAACATGTAATCGACTTAAAAGAGGTCAGACAGTGACCCTAAAGTTGTCTGAGTGCTTTGTTCTTTAACTCGTATTAGCATCCGTGTTACTGTATACACTGAGTACTGTACAAGCATCCTCTCAGCAAGTGGCGTGTGTGAGACGATAGAGGAAATGTGTGTGTGTGCATGTCTGTGAGTGAGAGAGCATTAAGTAGACAGATTAAGACGAGAAGGGTATTAAAATTAACAACTGGAGCGCTGAACCCAATCACAACACGGTTGGTGAGTCATTAACCCCTCAACGTCGTGTGTGTGTGTGTGTGTGTGTGTGTGTGTGTGTGTGTGTGTGTGTGTGTGTGTGTGTGTGTGTGTGTGTGTGTGTGTGTGTGTGTGTGTGTGTGTGTGTGTGTGTGTGTGTGTGTGTGTGTGTGTGTGTGTGTGTGTGTGTGTGTGTGTGTGTGTGTGTGTGTGTGTGTGTGTGTGTGTGTGTCACTGGCAGGCAGGAGCGATGTCAGATCTTGAGTGATGCAGTCGACAGAGGGAAGGGCATTTTTCTAAAAGCGCTTAAAATGACAGATCACACATACACTCAAAACGAGGACACACACACAGGTACACACACACACACACACACACACACACTATCAGTGTTATCCTATGAATCACAGGCTGAGTACGCTGACATTAAGACTACAACAAGAGCAGCAAACACACAACATCAGAGGGAGAGCTGCGGTGTGTTTGCAGAGCGTCATCCCTCCTTCTTACTCCCCCAACCGAACAGTTTGGTAATCGGAGACTTCTTCTTTGGTTTGTCTTTCTTGACGTCTGAGAGAGAAAGACAAAATGAGAGATGGGGAGGAAAGAGAGGAAGTTACAGAGGAGGGGAAGAGATGAGAGGAAGGTAGTGAAAAGATGACAGAGACAGACATAACAGGTTAGGTCTGGTTCCTTTACATCCGTTGTTTCTTTACTTGAAGACCATTAAAGTTCACAGTCACACAAATGATGAGGAATCTGATCCTATAAATGTGCTTTTCACAGTGAAATAGCTTAGATGTGCTATTCAATCTCTCCTGGTAAGGTATTTATATATTCTTGATGCTAATGAATCGTCACAAAATGTGAGTGAACGCGTGATAAAACAGGTTTAGTTCATCTTACACTCCTAAAAACCAACAACAACTTAAATGCAGTGAAATATCCTATCCCATATGTCATATAGGCCTAGTGTCATTCCTAGTGCTTAGTTCATTTGGTAACTAAGTTGAGTAACCGGTAAGTTCATAACAAATAATAACAACTTTTCCATTGACCGCAATGTAAAAAATCAAAATGTCCAACATTTGAGAAGCTGTCAACATTTAGTGTTTGGCATTTCTTCACCACTCATCACTTTAACAATAATAGATTTGTAATTCATTCACTAAATAATAGTTGAAGGCACTTCTATGAGGTTGAAAGAGTTGGAAA